CTTTGAAGTTTACAGAGGCCTAAAGGGGACCAGAATAAATTATGCATTTTTTGATTGAGTCGTCTGACCGCTTAGTGTGAATTTAATTTTACTATTTATATAGGCTTTCATGGCTATATACGGAAATGAAAAGTGGGTTTTAGCAGCATCATAACAGAGATCTAACTAGGGCAACGAAAATGATTATTTTCTCAAAAGCAAGATTTTTCCATTGAAACTATTAAGAGTTTGAGTTCCTTAACTTTACGATTGCCTAATGAAAAGAAGAAAATATGTGAGCGAGAAAAAAAACTGAATTTTGTCAAGATCGTTTGCTATTACGTGATGACGATACTGCGTAAACTTGATTGAAGCGCTTGTGCTAAAACTCGATACACGATGTAGGAACAGCAGGCTGTTGTCCACACTATCAATGACTATGCAAGAAATATGCGCATTAAGAGATCGGGATTAGAATAGCATCAAGAAAGATTGTCTAGTATTTGCCATGAAGCTTTATCTATTAGGTAAGAGATAGATGGTGGAGAATAGTAAATATTCGAAGATTGATGAATGTGGCAGTTTAGGATGGAGTATTGAAGAGGAAAGTGCGTAAAAATATTGATAAGCTCAAATAACTAATCAAATTCAGTTTAATAGAGTAGACTCACTGTGACAGAAGCGTCCCATCCACCCTTGTGTGCACTGGCAGTTCAACTTTCCAGGTATACACTTGCCGCCATTCAAACAGGGATTTACTCGGCAGTTTTCGGCTGTGAATCGCTTGAAGACAAGCTGCTGCGTCTTAGGTAGCGCTAAAATCATCGAATCTCGAGTAAAAAGTGGGAATCGCTGGGATTTGTCTGTGTCAAGGTGTTAAAAGCTTTTATGAGAAAAGGATGCGCTGCTTCTGACGGCAGCTGATGGATGTGAATGTTGTCCTGACTTTCATTGTTATTGTATCGAGAATACAATTAGGAATGTATAATTAACCTGGTTGTAGTATAGTAAGTAGTAGGATCGTAACGTAGTACATGGTTGTGTCTGAATGAAGGAGCGCGCGACGAACCGGCTGTTTTGATGTGAACGACGAGGCTCGCAGCGGCTGGATATCGCCACCCCCTAACCACTACCGAGACTGGCTTCTTCCACTGGAAAATGTGTCGTCATTCAAGTGTCAGATGGCATCGCACT